GGTTGGACTAGATGATCTCTAGAGGTCTCTTCCAACCCCTTCCACTCTGTGAATCTGTGATAATGTGCAATGGTGTTCATGAGGAGAAAAACTGCCTATCAGTGGAAGAGAAGATTCTATAAATGGTATGTGAACGTTTACTAGGAGACTTATTCTCTGAGACTTTCTATTACAGTGAATTTCACATACAAATATCTGAACACTTACCCGTCCACCTGTTCCTCTCCCAGAATGTATCGCAGGTTCTTCAAGAAAGACAGGGAGACTAATGCATGGGAGTGACGAATCTTCACATACCCTGTTACCGTCTCAATCAGCCCCATAAAATTCTCCAGTTCCGAGGCGATGTTATCTACAGTAAGAAAAAGGTAGTTTCATTATTGCAGAATTCATAGCTTTAACCGCTGCTCTGCTTAACACACTATTAGCCCAGTAAAAGGTTGTATTTGTTGCTTTTGAAAACGACAGACACTGGTATTCCTTCCCCCGTGAGAGTTGCCTGTGCGGACAGATGGTTGAAGGGCAGAATAAAGCCACAGAGCAACAGTGGAAAACCAGTCTTGCTTTTCCATACTGGTACGCCTGCTTTTTCCATGGACAGTGCGCTCTGAAGCCAGCACCAAACGTTGAGCCAGCATTCTGGCAAGGATGAAAAGACCCTTGTGTAAATGTACACATCCATGAGACTGGAACTGCTCTTCGGCTACAGAGCAAAGCTCCAGCAGAAAGCTCCACTGGAAAACTGAGAACGAGACTGAGGATGAAGAGGTGGAGGTATGCTGCTGCTCTTCTCTGGGGCATAAAGCATGGCTTTCAGTGACCTAAAAAGCCTTGGCTACTGAACTGAGAACTCTTGATGAAACAGCAAAGAGAAAACCGTAAGGATGTCCTCATGCCATGGAGCACGTTCCACACTACTCACCAAAGGTTTCCTACAACACATTACCGAAACAACCACAGAACAAGCTGTAGTAGTGCTCCTCCCCAGGAACTGTACTGTCCCTGCCCAGGCCTGCTACACCCCATCCTCCACAGGCTTGAGCTTTGCAGTCCTTAGCCCCTGCAACCCCTGACCCGTGCTCATGGCCTGGTGTCACTATCCTGTGAATTACTCTGCAGTTGTGGGGGGAAGTTCTTCAACACTCAGGGTGAGAGAAGCTGCTATGGGGTGTGTTTGGCACCATAAACGAACCAAAGTCCTAACAGATGTCTGGGAAGACCAATTACCCAACACCAATGGTTGGATCTCATACCAAACAAGATGGGAGACAGGAGCTGCTCTTCAGCACTTTAAGGTAACACTTAAAAAAACAAAAACCAACCCCACATTTTCCCCAGGTAACTGAATCTTATCCTCTAAGGAAAGATTGTACCTGTAGTAGTGGGACCAAGAGTGAAATAATCCCCATGCTGCTGTTTCTAAACCCTCAAGTTTCCATTCATCAGGAGGAAGGGAATCAAATACATCTCAATTTTTCAACCTTATTCATGAAACCGAAAGGAACCTTCCATAGGGAGATACATTTCCAATAAAAACTAGCAGTGATTTTTACTCTGCTTTTAAAGAGCTCATCAACTGTCAGCACTTCCCTGGCTGATGAATCACTGCTCTGACAAATTGAATACAGAGCTTGTTCAAGACGTGTGACAAAGGTGGCCAGCTCACTAACGATGACCATCCAGAGGCACAGCACTAGGCTTTATACGAGCCCTCAGCACTCTGGATTCCATGTTTTAGCAAGGCACCACACCCTGCCTTAAAAAGTGAGGATATGCAGCCTTACAGCACCATGCTTTACTTGCAGACAAGTTATTTACCTACCCAGATGCAAGGATTCTTGACTTTTCCACCTTCTCTGCCCTTTATTATTCCTTTGGGACTACTGCTCATCTCCCTGCCTGATCCTGGTTCCCTGTCTTGCCCAAAATGCTCACAGAAACACCAGCTTTCACTGCCTCAGAACTTGGTAGCTGAATAGCTCTGCCATCCGTATGCTGGAGTGGTGCTACCATGGGCCAAATCAAACAGGAGCACTGCTACGGGGCTGGAAAGCAAACAGTCTGCTGAGCTTTTAATGTTCTTATCATTATGCTGACAAACAACAGGAAAATTGTTAAAAGTAGCCTTATCGGAGGTCCATAAAGAGAAGACAATCACTTACTTCCACGGCGGATGTTAATCAGCAGATTTCCCTTGAGAATTGTGCATCCCTGCAACATCTGTGCTGATGTGACAGAGTCAATGGTCTTCGTTTTCCCATCCTCACAAATTTTGGGGCAAGGCCCCTCACAAGGACTGCAGAACATGCTGTTGGGAAAGAAAGGGAGACTGAAATCAAGCACCAACATGCAACTCTGCGTCTGCAGACTGCTTCAAGTTAAATTCTGAATGACATTTCCCACTAAAGCTTAAACAAATGCTTCCGGCTAGGAAGTTACCGTACTTCAGGGATACTTCACACACTCACCCTGCTCTAGTCCAGAGGGGCTGGAGCATCGTACCCCCGTCTTACAGCAACACAAGAATGGACCCATACCCCTCCCCCCAACAGCTTCTGAAGGACTCTGTGGCCCTTCCAAAGTCAATGGCACTTCAGGTAAAACCTACTGCCCTTGGATTTGAGCATTTACTCTAACTTTGTCACATCCAGAAAGACCACCTTCTCATTTATGCAGACATCCTCAGAGTGATGTTGCATGCTAATCCAGACTCAGTCTCCAAAAACAGGCCAGCCAGGAACTGGAGATGGGAAAACACTGTTCAGATTCCTAAGAAGCTGTCTCTGTGCCCCAAACCATGCCCTCTGAAACTCAGCACTAGGGAAATCCATGCTCCCAGCTGTTTTAATTCAGGAAAGACAAATGTGGGAGCATACAGTCATGGGGGATGTGGAGAAAGCGAGCAGTGAATTAGTCACTATTTCTTGCAGCTCAAGAGGTTTGCAAGCAGCAAGTTTAAACAAACACAAGGCTGCATCTTGATGCAAGGCAAAACTAATTCGCAACAGGGACGGGGAGAGACAGGCCAGAAGTCTAAGCAGGTTCCAAACGGCTTACACAGATGGAAAGAGAACAGGTCCACCAGTGACTCCAAAGCATCAAGACAGACACAGCCCTGAACTCCAGAGAAACAGACTGCCAGAAGCTCATGGGAAACCCAAGCGCAGGCTCACTGCTCCTGCTTCTTACACTCTCGAGTGCTCATACGCATTCTTTACAGGCCAAATGCAAGGAACAAGAACTCGGGCCAACCCAGCCTTTGGCTACAGCAGCTTTGTAAAGGCTCCGTGTTATACTGTCTGCGTACTCATCTCAAAACTGAACAGTGTGTGCATGAAACATGCCCTCTGATCACTCCTCCTACTAAATGCTTTGCCAATTCAAGGTCATTTTTATTTCTCTACTTATTCTAGCACTTTCCTTTGTATTTTATTATTACTTAATCCACCTTGTCGCTTTAGAGGGGCAAAATGAAAAAGAAAAAACCAAAACCAGTTCCAAAGACAAAGGCTTCTGATGACAACACCGATGAGCATGGGCTTACTATTTATTCTTTTTAAAAGAAACTGAACCCACTTTTTTTTGAGGCTTAAAGAAACATGTAAATTGATAATAACAGTTTTTCATGCATAAACAATAAAAGAATGACGCTTCCTTTTCTTAGTAGTAAGCTCCTATTTCAAAATCCTGCACTATAACATCCCACAAACCACTAAAAGCTGCAGACATAAGCAAGAGGCATCCAACTAAATGTACAAAGAATGCTGGAAATGCTTTCCATTTGCGACTATTTCTTAACACCACCTCTGGGGAACAAAGCAGCCACTAGCCTTGAGTTACAGCTCCTTTCAATCTTTGCAGCAGAGCACAACGCTGAGATAAGATAGGATGGCCGTGCACTTCAGCGTAAGCGGCTCAAACAGCTGGTACTACAAGCTCAAGCAGATAACAAAAGAAACGTTTCTCAGGTGGGTATCTGGCTTTGAGCAAAGGCAGCGTTAAGTTGCTTACACCCGAGTGTTAGCCCCAGAGTGCCTTACTAGTTGACTGAATGGATGGAGGACACACAAGCACACAGAGACACGCAGCCAGCGCGGGTATCATCCCAAGCACCTTCCCAAAAACCATCTCAGAACAGCCCATGAAGGCACTGTTTCAGCAGAGTAACGAAGCACTACGAATTTTAGCACGCTGACTGTCCTTTACTCAAAGTCTGTGACTCCCAAGGGTCAGCAGGCAACTAAGGCTGTTTGCTTAAACAACTGGCAACGTAAGAAAATCAGAAGCACATATGACTCCAACTGTTAGAATTAAATAAGAGCAGGTGAGTGACATTCTTGCAAGAAATGACCGTGCATAATATTGTCAGCTGCTGCATTATTTTTGTCACTATCTACATGACTGCTCCCTTGTAAAACACCATTCGTTAGGTTCTGGAAACAGTGAAAAAAAGGGAAATAAATACACCAAAAAAAAAAGTGTCTAAAATGCAAGTACACATAAAGCAAATAACACGGGAAGCAAGATAAGTGCTGTGGTCTGTTCTGTGTGATAATGGTCACGGGCCAACCTCCAACCTTGTGTTCCTGGCCTTTCACTTTGTTACTGTCTGCCAAGATCTGGTTCTGCACTGTACTGACCTCCTCGAGTCCTTCACAAGAATCAGTGTCACCCGACCACGCACAAGACCACACACACTGGTGAGTTCCCCTAGGCCAGCCTGTACCAGGACGTCACACTACTCCCCATCCCGTGCTCTTACTTCTACCTAATGTGATTTGCATCACAAGCTGACACAGAACAAAGGTGGAAAAACACAGCTGTGACAACTCCGATGGACTCCCAGAAGCTGCATTACCTTTGGCTCCCATTGCGGATGAATCCAGAGGGGCATTCCGCCATGCACTCATCGTTGTGAATCACGAACCTCTCATATTCACTTGTTTCGGTGGCGGGGACTTTGGAGCAGAACTCTTTTGTCACGCAGCGCCAGCCCTCGAACTTGTAGGTGTTGGGCGGGCAGGTGGGCATGCAGACTCCTTCGTAGTAGTAGTTGCGGCAGGGCCCGCAAGCCGTGTTGTTGTCAGGCGCCGTGCAGCTCCCCAGGCATTCGGGATGGCAGCACTCGTTTTGGTCTGTACAGGCTCGCTTGCCACATGAGCTGGGGCACACTGCAAGAGAGAAAGCAAGGCAGCATGAACAAGGGCTGTCAAATCGAGTGAATGGCATTGAAGGAAAAACCCTGATCCAAGTCTCTGCTTTCATTCCCTGGGCCCTAGAGCATCTCAGCAAAAGAAACAACTCCTGTAAAACTGAAAAACTAAATTCTGCTTTTCTCAGTTTTAGTTGCCTGAAAATATCTTTTTCTCAGATCAAATTTATAATATGAGCCAATTAAGTAAGGAAAACTGCTGAAAGCAAGATCAACATAAGGATAATGGAAACAGGCAAGTACTGGAACCTATTCCATAGCCCTAGTATTATGGTTAATTTTTTTTTTTTTTTTAGTGCTGACTTACTGTCTTTCTAAGCATTTCTTGTCTTTCCTATCTGTACTTCAAGCTAGCCTTTCACTGGCAAGAAAACAAGCTCCCTTTAAACAACTTAATTACACTTGTACAATAAAGCACTGCTATGCTGTAGCACACATGGTTGGGTTGACCCCAGTGTAGCATCCCAATGTTGCTGATGTATGCAAAATGAGGTTTAATAAAGTGCAGATGGTACGCATCAAATACTGTGGAATCACGGAGCTACTATTTTTCCCCTGAAGAGCGTAACAGAATTCTGCCTTATCCCCAGATTCTGGGTTCAGAGAACAAAGTATCTAAAGGGGAGAAAAAAACAAACGGGGTGTAAATTTGCAGAGACGTGCGTTCCCCGCGAACGCATTTCGGCTTGAAAGACACGAACAAAGAGCAGAATCCTCAGCAGACAAGCTCACCACTGCTACATCAAAAGAAGTGGCAGCATTATATTTATGTAACAACGTTTTGATTACAGCGTTGTATGGCCTTTTAGCCACACGAGCTGTGCGCCAGAGGCTCTGTAAACAAACACAGATAGGAAATCTGGTTTGCATTAAGTAACTGTTTTCCACTTTCTAACGTAGCTAAAACACAGCACCAATAATAACAGCATAAAACAAAATTTCAGCCGTACAGCTACAGCGAGCTCCAAGCAAAGCACCACAAGACATTTAAACTGGACCATTTGAGCAAAAAGCATATAACCAGCAAAGAAGTTAATATCCAAAATGAACAGGGAAGCAGCAGAGCTCTGCCTGTAGAAAAAAACCCCAACATTTAGGAAACTCTAACAGTTCCACAAAAGTTCTGTGTTACAATTTATCATTCAGTTTGCAACCAAAGGGTTGTTTCGATGCAGGACTAAACACCCTAAAATCTTGACCCTCTCTTCTCCCCATAAGGAGGTCTAGGTTTCCCAGGGCGTGTTCACAATGCTGTTGAACAGAGCACCACGATCATGAGATGGGACCGAAAGCGTGACAGTGCTATTAAGCAATTATAAACCAATTAAAAATTAAAAAAAAAATTAAGAAAACCTGTTCACAGCTCTGCATCCTCCAATTTTTTATTATAAGAAGCTGTTCGCTGCCAGGTCTAAGGCAGGGTCCACCTTGACAAGGACCTGTAAAACTGCCCTCAGAGAATTTTGCATTTCTTAGTGATAGCTCTGTATTGATGTTGCTGAAATTTTATTCACTTTAAGCCTTAAATACCAACTTTGCAAGCATAAGCACCTGGGTATGAAGCTGAGTTCTCCATATAAAATTAAGGGTAAGAAAGGGTCTGTGGAGGAAATTGCACCTGCGGGTAAGTCCCTGGCAGCCTGAGCAGCATCTCCCCCAGGCCAGCAGGCAGCTGTGAAGGCAGCAGACCTGTCTGCAACACCTGAGAGCGCTGCTCCCTGCCGCTGCAGCCCCCAGCACAAGCAGCTCGCACCAGGGGCAGCCTGGACACACCGAACCGAACGCAGCAGGTCTGCTGCGCGACAAGGAGCTGCTGAGGCTGACCAGGAGTTCATCTGTCTCCCCTGGTTGAAAGGAGGCGTCACTTCACCCCACAAGCCTTCCCCGCACACGCTGCCGCTGTAACCCCACAGCCCTGCTCCGTACCTGCACGCTCATTTCTGCGGTGACAGCGGGCACAGGAGCAGAGGGGGACTGGAGGGGAAGACAACGAAAACAAGGAGGTGGGAGCACGAGGATGGCCGGTGCCTGCCTGGGTACCACAAACAGCACGTGCAGGCCAAATTAAGGACATCTTTGCAGAGCCAGTCACTTGCAAGTCCACCGAGAGCAGGAGTGCAGAGGAAAACACTGCTAAACAAAGCACTGCGTAAAAATGCTGGATTTATTTTCTTGAAAAGGAAGAAACCATGCACACCAAACCCTGACATGAAAATAAGTACGCAGGTGTAGTTTTCTTTTTGCCAGTAACCTGCAGCAGTGTAAAAGGAGTCAAGTCTGCCCAGGCGCCACCTTACTAAGGCATCACAAACTGCCTCCCGCCTTAAGGTTCTCAGTTCTACTTGCACCTGCAACTACTAAGGGATTAAAAAATAAGGAATCAGTGTATCTTGCTAGCAGATGGACTGCTGTTCTGAGTGGGTGCCAGAACCCAGATTTCATGTGGCAGCTACGTTTCCAGTTCAAAGCCCTACTAAGAAAAAAACACACACACACCCCTCCCCCCAAGCCTCCACAAAGTTCATCACTAGCTGTATTGATCAACTACATCTTTTTTTTGTTGTTTTCATCTAGACAATTTGCTAAAAAAAACAAATGCTGCTACATTAAGTATACAGATAAATATAGCAGAAAAAGATGGAGTTTACTGTGTTCTTGGGAAAGACGTTTATATTCCCTTAATGCTTCTGCCATTCATGAACAGTCTGCTATATAAATAGGAATCCCTGCATCTCCTAGTAAATCTGCTGACGCTCGTCTACGGAAATATAAATTGAAGCACAGAAGGATATGCAAGTTCACATAAAAAAGGCAATCAGTGAAACAGGTTTTCAGAACCAGAGTCATATTTTAATCACAACCATTTTAACCAGAAGTCTGGAAAACTTTTTAAAGATAATTTTTTAAAAGCTCAGCAAACCTTGTGTTTCTCTCAGTCCTGTTTTTTGCTTGTTCTTGCTAACGTTGGCATAGTTTTCAGCCTGGAGACAATACGGGTATCCTGTTTCTTTGAAGAGGCAGAACAAGAACTTTTGTGTGTGTGTAGGATATTATGAACAACAAAAAGTCTTATCTGCCTCACATGCCGGTTCCCTCAGATATCCCTGTTCTCTCCAACAACGCTGGCTGGCCTTACAACCCAGCTCCATCTCTCCTCTCTCCTGCCCTCCCCAGCTGTGCTACTTGGGCTGCTAGACTTGTACCAAAATGTTTAAAATGCAGGTTCCAAAATACTTCTGCCCAAAAAAAACCCTGAAATATGCTCCATAACTTGTTGACTTTAGTCCGCAAAAACATTAGACACGCGAATATAAGCCAACAGTGGGCTGACATTCGGGGACAGAATTTATCAGCCAGGTACAACAGTGCCTTGGATCACGAAGGCTGATGATGGTGCATAAAAAACCCCAAACGCCCGAACAAATCTTTGCTGACAAGCACAAGGGCAAAAAATGCTTCATTGTCGTCACGTGGAGCTGCCAAGATAGTGGAAAATTTCAGAGACCTTGGAGGGCAGCCATGGAAGAAGGAAGTCAAAGCAAGACCCAGAGAAGGGCAGACCCTTAAGCAGCTTCATTAAAGAGATGGTGGAAGCCTGACTAGACCCGAGGTTCTGTCTACATTTAGGGAGTGAAAATATGGAGAAACCATCAGATCTTTAGAGGAGGACATGACAGGAGTACCAGTATGTACTGGAGCAAACCCAGCAGCAGTAGATTCTCTGACCATTCACCTTCTCTCTGATTTCTTGAAATGAGAAGTTTTCCTTGTCCACAAAATCCAGGAGATTTTCCAAATGTTATTAAGTTATGATCACTTGCAAAAAAGGGCAAAATATTTCATTTCAAGATGTCCACTTACCGAGCACGTCAGATGCAGACCTGACATGCAGAAAGGAGATCCTGTAAACGCAAAGACCTTACAAACAAGAGAAGCTCCAAGAGAATCTGACTCAGAGACTCATCATTCTCAATTAAAATCCACAGGATGCTAAACCAAAATGGCAAACACAAAGCAAGGTTGGGAAATCCTCAAACTCTCCAAAAAAAGCAAGAAACAAGTCATCTCTCTGTATTTACGGCAGTTGCTCGCTGGAGAGCCTCGTGCTGAGGAGATGGCAGTAAGTTTGCCTGACAACTAATACCTCCCGCTACGCCAAGCGTGCGCAGAGCTAAAGCTCACGGCAAACACTGCACCGACATCACGGCTATTGTACGGTTTGGACAGACAAAGTGTTCTTATCACCTCCAAGACGCCATGACTTCAGCAATGCTGAAACACAAAAATCAGGTGAATAAACAATCGGTCACAGGGAGTGAGACGGAGCCAGAAGAGGAAGACTTCTGGCAAGGCAAAGCGCCGGCCTCTGCCAAGGATGGCACCGAGCCAGTCACATGCGGGCAAGCAAAAGGTTGCCAAGTGTGGGATAAATATTTTTTTAAAGATTCTTTCTCTCCTTGTAAAACGATATACGATCCTTCCTTCTTTATACCGTTTCTGCTTTTTAGAGCATCCTTCACGTAAAATAATGTTTCAAAGGGAAAAGGTAGGGGAAGCCTAGTTTTAAGCAGAAACCAGAGGAGGAAAGGAGCATTTTCTCCTAGCCAACTACCAAAAAAAAATCAGCTGTCTAAATTTATGCACAAAGACATAAAAAATGGTCATTTTGGGAATGCTAATCCCTCTACATGACAGACTTTTTAAAATATTGCATTTTAATGGTCTAAACTTTGGTATGGTCTTTCTCACAGCTGACTTCCAATGCTCAAGCAGCCTATACAAGACCTGATTTCCTTTTCCCAAACACGCTGTGAGAACAGAAGGACTGGAGAGACATTATTCAGAAACTCCAGTTCCAGCGATTCGTGGCCCAGGCTGGAATCAAATATCTACAGTATAAAGGCTGCAGTAAGGAAATACACATATTAAATACATGCAGTAACGTGTTCCGATCACAGA